TAATAATATACACATTAGGACAAAAGAAAAGACAATATTTATGTTAGGGTTGGGCCATACTGACATAAAAACTGATCACGATAAATTGTGGCATTAAGTCGATAATGATTGATTGATTGATTGATTGATTGATTGATTATGCCTTTATTGACATTGTACAGAGCACAATGAAATTATACTTAAGAACATAGATGGCAATTGCACTTGAATGTAGCCAACATTGGGTCCATGTTTTCTGGCTTTGTTCGTACTCTATTCATGCTAGAGTTTCAAGTGATTAAACAAGTTTGTAGGGTTAGCGTTAGCTGCTTGACACTGTGTTCCACCACTGGGCTCATATACGCACCTGATATTGTGTTGCATACAACAATATGTCATCACATGGCACTAATTACAGTAATTGCAAAGTGACAAATATTAATTGTTGATGGTTTTACTGATGATTAACTGCACAAGATACAGTTTTGCCCAACTGTAATTCATGTAAACAAGGGAAATACTGCATATACTGTATACTAATTTAATATAAACTAYAACTAAACTATGCAGGCATGTTTAATTTTCTAATTCTTATTATTATCCAGTCTAGTCCTACAGGTCTTACAGAAACATWATACAAGGCTGGAAGCTGGGTTRTAGAAGTGGCCAACAGGCTASAAGCATGATCTAATAAACATGTTTMAATCTTTGTATTGATCACATATTTGCAAAYGAATTGACAGGAAAACTGCTAAAGCTAGCCTTTTCCAGTGTAAGTATAAAAAAAACAAAACATTGTCAAAGTATCAARGAGCAAYTGCAGAGGGACCAAAGGGCCACATGTAGCTCCAGAACCACAGACTGCAGACACCTGGTTTAAAGAGAAGCATTGAGGCTAACTCTATGGATTATACATACACACACAAATTAATGTTAACAAAAATCTAATAAAATAAGAATAACAACTGTGGGCTACTTTTAAATGGTTAAAAACAAAAAGAGCTTTTGATATGTAATCTGACTCTAACAATGTCTGCATCTCTCACAAGGAGACATGCTTCTCAAAATTGTGTCGTGGCTGCAATTTTAAAAAATAAAATCCAGTTTCATCAGACAATTTATGAAGCCAGCTGATTCAAAGGGTGAAACAAAACTGCGAAGAAGACACCTCAAGTGGCGAGAAGTGAATCATCGTCACTGGATGCAACAGGCAGCACAAAGCGAWTCAACCAAACCACGAGCCTGGTGCCTGTCTCCATCCTCTAAAACTCACCTTTATGGGGCGTAACCAGTAAATCCAAGGCTTTCTGGGAAAGGTTGGGCCAGATGGCCATCATCTCTTTCCTCAGCTCTGCATCCATCTGGTGCTTGTCGATACCCCCTATAGGCAAATTCACAACAAAAYCCAGTGCATGCAGCACACATGCAGGTATGTCCACAGACACATGGATGTCAGCGCCCCAAGTGTACGGTCACAAGTAAACATACACACAAATACGTGTTTACCCAGACACACAGAAACACACACACACATCATTCATATGAGTACATTTGATATGAAACGATAAAAATATAGGACATACAAAAAAGAAAACAGACAAAAAAGAAAGCAAAGATGATTGATTAGTTACATTATCATAATTTTCAGCAGTTCATTCTGTGACAATACCTTGATGCTCAAGATCTTATYATTCATACACATAAGCAAAATACTGCACCCCTATTTTCTATTAAAAAATGTTGGGACATTGTGTAATATGTATATAAAACAGAAGACAAACTCATATTTTATTCACAACAGAATAAAATAAACATATTCATATTCTGTTTTCTTTACATTTTACACAACATCCCAACTTTATCAAATTTGGGGTTGAACAAATACTGCACATATGGTCTTCTTTACAGAAAACATGCTGAACGGCAAAGGAGAGAGATTGTGAGCAACTAGAGATTTCTGTTTGCCAAAAAAAAAAAATCAGACTCAACTGAGAGTAAAAAGAAAAAAGAATGAGATAATAACCAGACAAAAAGGAGTGAGAAGGATTTTAAAACATTCGTACCCTTGGCGATCTTGATGTCCAACGCYGTCCGGATCAGAGCCATGAGAGTCGAGTTAAAATGGACTGTGCTGTCATCGGCCACGGGGAGATCCATACGGAGCAACCTCTGYGAGAAAGCCAGTTGAGGTGAGCAGTGAGAAAGTTGGGAAGCAGAAAGTGTGTTTGTGGAACCTCCAGGTGACAATGGGGGGGG